ATAAACTTCTTAAAAATAAGAGATATTCAAAAAGAGATTGGCTGCTCTGTTGGATAATGTGTCTCTCATGTACATAGTGTTTTCCTTCATAAAATATGAGGTTAATAACATATATTACAATTATACATAATATAAATACTATACATAATTGTAATATAACATAACATATTATAATAATAATACAATGTAAGGCATAGTTTTTTTTTTAACCAGGGTAGGCCTATTGCCTAGAATAGTGCCTGGCACCAGCATTTTTTATATGCTTATTACTTGATTAATCCAGGTAAGGAAAATTAAAACAAAGTTAGGTTGTTTACTATTGTAAAAAGTTACTTTTGTATAATGAAATAGATTGTTTTGTGGAAATACTTTGTATTAATTCTCTAATAAGTCCCTTAAATTAGATGGTCCACTAAACTAGGACTTATTGAAGGTTGACCAATAAGAATGCTAATAACTAATCAAAAATGATTCTCTGCATATGAAGAAAAATGTTTTCTTTAAAAGATAAAAAAAGAATCAGGGAGAAGTTGAAAGAAATCTACCACATATTTACTTGCTTCTAATAATGTAGTGAAATCTCACACCACATTGAGTATTTAAAAGAAGGCTTAAATGAGTTTTTTAAAGAGCCTCCTCAAGGCAACTTTCACCTCTTTGTTCCTCAAGCTGTAGATCAAAGGGTTGAGCATAGGGATAACCAGAGTGTAAAACACAGAGGCTATTTTGTCTACATCAAAGGAATGGCTAGATTGAGGCTGCAGATAGATGAAAGTAAGTGTCCCATAGAAAATAACCACACCAGTGAGGTGAGAGCCAAAGGTGGAGAAGGTTTTGTGCCTGCCCTCAGAAGAGTTCATCCTGAGGATGGTCACAATAATGAGCATGTAGGAGATAAAGATAATTGGAAAGGAAGAAAAAAAATTAAATGCAGCAAAGGTTACAATGATTAGTTCAATCTCACTTGGATCTGAGCATGTAATGGACAATAGGGGAGCACTCTCACAGTAAAAGTTTCTTATTATATTTGATTTGCAGAAAGATAATTTAAAAATTTTTATTGTGACTAGGAGAGATAGCATGGTGTTATAGAGGTATGAGATAGCCACCAAGAGCCAACATACCCTGTCTGACACAATGACCATATAGTAGAGGGGCTTACAGATAGCCACATAGCGGTCATAGGCCATGGCTGACAGGATAAAAAGTTCACTGACAACAAATATCACATAGAACACTAGCTGTATTGCACATCCATGATAAGAAATGTTGTTGTCCTCTACAAATCCAACTAGCATTTTTGGCGCAATAGTTGTGGAATAGCCAAGATCAACAAATGCTAGATGCTTCAGGAAAAAGTACATGGGGGTTTTGAGGTGGGAATCAACACTGGTTAGAATGATCAGGCCTATGTTCCCAACAACTATAGCCATGTAGTTGAGGAAAAACACAACAAAGAGGGGACCCTTGAGCTCAGGATGATTTGTGATGCCCATGAGAATAAATTCAGTCACCTGGCTCCCTGTCGTTTCATTCAGGCTGTTCTTTTCTTCCATCCAAAGAACATATTCTGAGAAGAAAAGAAAGAAGCCTTCTTTGAGTACTGTTTGCATAGATAACTAGGCAATTAATGGCTAGAAATGTGTTAAATAAAGATAAGCAGGATTTTTTCCACTCAATTATAATGAATTTTATCCATTTAGATGTCATGTGGTGAATTCACTCACACTGAAATAATATCACATTATATCATTTGATATAATGTCACATCATGTCATATCATTTCATATCATATCAATATCCTGTCACAAACAGGATAGTGAATTTGATTTTATTTTACAACATAGTAAATTATGAAATGACTTTTTTCCAAGCTATCAAGTAGGACAATGTTATAGATATGTTTTAATATACTTTACCTAATCAATGGGTCAAAAATTATAATGTGATACTAATGTGGGACACAACACATAAGATCACCTTATGGAGAAATTTTGATGAAGTAGCTTATTAAGTTTGCTTTGAACCCAAATCAAGGGAGGATAAATAACATGTCCAATATGATTGCAAAGTCCTGTGCTAGTCATGAAATCTCTGGGTTGTTGGGTCATTGTCTCTGATGGTCAGTTGCAAAGTGACAGCCAATGCCAAGAGATAGAATTTTCTTTTTAGCAGAGCCCTAAACTATTGAAAGTAAAGGTCCAGGATCATAAACAGTCTCTGCCTCATGTAGTCATTAATTGTGTGATATCCAGGGACACTCCATGTATCTACCCACCCTCTGTAGTCTCCCTTCCCTTTGCCTTACCAGAGAGAAGATATTTTTCTACCTGGATTATGAAGATGAACTAGGTAACCATTTTGGTGTTTTTAATGAATATTATTCTAAGAGACACGAAAAGACATTTTTTAAAAATGTTTCTTGTTTTTCAGATGATGTGCAGTTACATAGCATTGACTCCAAGATCACGCTCATCCCAACTACTATTAGTGACCCATATCACTTGACAAAACCTATTTGATTTCTCTGCTGAAACTGTTTCAATGGCAACAATAACAGCTAGGAACTGTTATTTGATGGCTTTCCTAGAATGGTTTTATGTCATTTCAATTTGCTGAAATTCTGCCCAAGGGCACAAAATTCTCCTGCTCACCTCCTTCGTGGGCATAGTGATCAACTTTTTGACTGAGGTTTTTGGACTCCATATTTTTAATACCTTCTACACTGGAAGTTCACAAATAAAGAATAAGGTTACCTGCTTATTTGGATGGTAGAATATACTTTAGCTTGCTCATCTGATCTGTACTGCCAGCCATTAGAGTCAGACTTTATGACTTTCAGTGTCCCCAGGTGGCCATGTCCTTGAAGCAATGGAGATGTTTAATTAATTTGGCATGAACACATCATGGAAATTGCCCATACAGTAATAAGTTAAAAACTTAATATGTCTACCTAATTTCATGGAGCATTTTTATGTCCTCAGCTTCTGTTTGTGAGTGATATGTCATGGTTGCATGATGCCTAGGGATAGAGAGTTTGCCTTTTTAGATACATGTCTAGGACAGATGGTTACAAATGGATTTATTGTTGGCCAACAAAAATAAGCTAGAGTAGATGAGCAGACTGGATTGCCTTTAGAATATTACAGTACCTTTTAGAAGAAACTAAGTGTTGTAGTAGATAGAGAACTAGTCCTGCAGTTAAGAAGAGCTTATTTCTAATCTATCCCCATACATTGGCTCTTTGACTTTCAACAAGTAACACAACATGTTTCTGCAAAAGTTTCTTTCTGGTAATATTGGGCTAATAATAACATCAATGTGCCAGAATTTTTGTGAGGATCGAATGAAATTATTATCAAGTAGCTAAGTGACCCAGTGAATTTGTCTCTGTGCCTGGAGTCAGAAACAGCTAAGTTCAAAAGTTGTTTCAGATACTAGAGTTCTGTGGTCCTAGTCATGGATCACTGTCATGTAATTTTTGTCTGCTTCAATTTCTTAAGCTTTCGAAAGGAGAAAATCGTACTTCTTAGTCATATTGTTTTGAGGTTCAAATGAGATATTAATTGTGAAGTTTATGATTTTTGCTTATTTGTTTCTGATTCTAATTATTAAAAGAAAAATCAGGTTTAAAATGAAGAGTTCTAAGTCTTTCCGTTTTTGCTAACTATGAAATTCATTTCCAGATAAGTGTGTCCCCTATGTATTAAAGCATTATTTTCCTTAGTCCTGTTTAAGAAAGCATGATAGTAAAACAATTGCATCTTCTTAGCCATGGTATTGGAAATAATTGAGTTTTCATGAGGATTTAAATTCTAGCTAAGTACTGCCTTCAATTCTTCAGAGAACTCTACTTAACAATGCTTTTGTTCCAGATTGTAGGTTTGACCAGTACATTATTACTCTCCAATACATAGATGCCTATCAATTCCCCTTAAAGAAAAAAAATGCAATCCATGTAGCCAATTCCAGCAGTAATGAAAATTACTTGTTTTTCTAATTTGTAAATTATTTACTTTAACAATTACTGCAATTTGTTTTAGAGTGTTTGCATTGTGATTATAGAAGATTTGCATTAATATCGAATGCAACTTAGTTGAAGCAATAACTGATGAGTCTAATAATGCCATTAGGTGATTAGTGTAGTAACGTCATCACCATCCACCCACACATATTTACTGGGCATGTCCAGTGTGCCCATCCTTGTTGAATCTGTATTCAGAGAACGTGCAGCATCTTTAGAGAAACAGTATCCTCTCTCCATCTCAGTTATTTGATACCTACCTTTGGTAATGAAAGAAAATCATGGAATGAGTGTTGTAAAGTGGATGGAAGGCTGGTCTTAGAATCTGAGGGTCTGAACTCAAGTCCCAGCTCTGGCACAGAAGAATATATCCTTTTTCTTGTTTTTTTTTCTTGTCTATATTTATTCGTTTCTTCATTTTTTATCTTAGTATGTCCAATGCCTATCAGAGTTTGTATGACAATGCTTGCTTCTTGTTAATTGCTTGTTAGGCAGCCCTACTTGTTGTAAGCACCTAATCTTGTTCTCTTCTGTTTTTGTTTCATGATTTGCCTTTTATATTTAGGACATAAATCCATTCTGCATTTCTTATGCAATATTGTTGATAAAGATGATGATAATGATAAGAATAACCATTTAAATCATATTTAATCTATGATAGGCACTTTACAATTATTATTACATTTGATGTTCCCACCAATTCTGGGATGTGCAGAATTTTTAAAGGTGTTTTTTTTTTATTCTTTAAGCAGTAGTGAATAATCTTGATGATTTTGATCTTTTGGGGAAAAAATGAAGAATCATTCATATAGTCCTTTCTATTCCTCTCCCATTATGCTATTGATAACATTATAGGAATACAAAAGCTCCTGTCCCCCACCTCCACAGCCATCTGTATGTACTAATAAAGATAGTGGTGGAAATAACCCATTCAACAAGAGGCTGTATTCTAGATTATAGATATTCTTACCTGACTGATCATTATTTCCTCAATTATGTCTTGCTCTTCAAAAAGAAGTTCTGTCTTGGGGTATCAATAATGTCTGTCCTTTTATTTTTTTGGCTATGAAATGGGTTAAGTGACTCGCCCAGGGTCACACAGCTAGTAAGTCTTATTTGCCCGAGGCTGGATTTGAACTCAAGTCCTCCTGCATCCAGGACTAGTGGTCTATCCACTGAGCCACCTAGCTGCCCCAATAATGACTGTCTCGCAAAAAAAGGGGTGGGGGAGCATGGCTGAAATTTTTTTTTGCTACTTAAACTTGCAGTGAGCTCTATAATTTGTTAAATGTGGTTGACTTTTCATATAGACTTTTGTAAATTTTACTAATTCAAAGGCTTTTAAATATTAATTTCTCAAATATGCATTTACCATTGAACTTGGATTTTAGATTATGGGTTCCCTGCAAATATAGGTCTTTAATATTATCCTTGATAATTTTAGATCCAGTATATTATTTTGTCATAGACATGTGTGTAAGTTATGCATATTTTATCGTCTTGATATTGTTAGACACTGGGCAGAGTTGACTCATTATCATCTCTGTGCTATAAATCATGCCATGACTGATGTTGGCCCTTATGGTCCTGCATCAAATTTTCTGTAGATTCTTTTATGCTACTGTGCACAACCTCTATTTAATCTCAGATTATGATACTGTACCATTCATCGGATTCCTAGTACTATGTTTTCTCACAATGGCAAATCATCATAATGATATTGAGGAAACCACTACAAGAACTGCATATTGGCACACTATTCTGGTTGTTGCATCTCCTATGGTCACAACCGTTGGTTTTTTCACATACTTCCGTTCCAATATTTTAAACAAGTTGGGTCCCTTTTCAACACAAAACATCTTAGTATGTGAAAATTGACTTTTAAACTCTCATTTCTTCATATATTTTCTTCCTATGTTTATTCCACAACAGCTCTCACAGAGACATTGACTCTCTATGGGATTTTGAAGATATGAGGGATCATCTACAAGGAGCCTGCGTACTTTTACATGTGGGCCAATTATTATATTTCTAGGGAGTTATTGAGCTCACAGATATCATAGTAATAAAAAAGAAATGAGAGCAGTTTTAAAAAGCATGCTTGACTATTCAGTTGTTGTATTAAGGATCAAGTCTAACCTCAACGCATGTAGTGCCTACATTCTCCTGGGTTTGGTAACGATGTATTTAACTTAATGTGGAGTTACAAATTACATTTTGTATCTCAGTTGTTCACAATTACTAAATACGGACAGGCAGGAGAATATATATATATATATATATATATATATATATATATATATATATACACACACACACATATATAAAATTTCAAAATCTTGAACTGCCTCCAGTATATACTAGTGTATAATTAGTTGGGGCATTGAAAATGAAAAAGGAGGAGGCTCCTAATGTGTATGTCCCTGACTTGGTAGAGTTTGTCTATTAATACCACGTGACCATGCTGTGTAGAGGCCACATGTTTAAGTTTACAACTTCCCTGCCCAGTGAGAAGCACATTCAGCTCAGTAC